CTCTCTCTCTCTCTGTCTATCTGGTGAGCACACGCGCCCTATCACAAAAACCTCTCCAAAAAAAAAAAAAAGATCATACTGTTCTTGTTTACTTTTGTTGACATCTCTTAGAGGAAAAAGAAAAATGGAACATTTGGAAAAGAAGTCTTATAACCTCCCCATCTCTGTACACCTTGTACATGACTTGTCATTTTTCTCATCCTCTTCAATTTATGTTTTAGTTTTCTCTCTTAACTAACTCGTATCTCCAACCATGTAATGTATATGATGCATGTTGGGACTGCATGCTCTATCATACAGCCTACCAGGTACAGGTAAGTCTAGTTAGCATGGCATTGCAGTTCAGGAGGGTGGAATACAATTATAGAACTAAATGTGAGCACAAGTCTAAGAGTAGGCCCTGGTTGGGGAAAAGAGAGCAAAGTCCTCCCGCCCTGGGCTCCTTGCTAGACAAAAATGGAATTATCTAGAGAGCACGCGCTGAGTGTCAGGTATCCAATCTAAACCTCAAAACAGCTGTAAAAAGCAGACCTCAGTTTTTCAGAGGAGGGTCTCAAGGCCCAGAGAGGCTTATGTGTATGCACCAGTTTTTACTGGCAGAGCTGGGACTCCAATCCAGTTTGACTCCAAGGCCCACACTCCTAACCCCAGTACTACAAACTCCTGGGTTGTGATCTAAAACCTGGGACATTCCTGGAGTCACAGTGGGGCATGTGGTCCTGGGTTAGCTGCCCAGAGAAGATGAGAGCTGGGTGAGAGTTGGGAGTTACTCCTTGGGCTGGCTGGCTTTTTTTTATTCTCCTACACCTCCAATTGTAAATTACTCCCTTATAAACCACAGTTTGTCCTGGCCTAAAGTAAATGATTTTCCAGTTTCAGAAACCACTCCCCCGGTCTTTCAAAACTTTTTTTTTTTAAAGAGAGATTTTTGCTATAGGGTGCATGCGCTCGCCGAAGAGACAGAGACAGAAGTGAGAAATCGCCCCCCAGGGGGGATGGCCACACTGTAATCCCTTCTCCTCCATTCTCTTCTCGAAATTTTGGATACACACATACATGCTCTTGGCATGAGTTTCAAGCCTCCTGGTTTGGGGCTTGAACCACAGTTGACTACATGGGAGTGTAGTGACATAACCATTCACCTGCTGGTCCCCTCAAAAACTTCTCTATCCTCCCCCCATCCAGGTACTAACATTTCTCCGGACTACCCAATGGTTTGGAATTCTTATCCTTTTTCCTCTGAGTGTTTTTGGTTTGTTTTTGCTTTGTTTTGTTTTGTTTTGCTATAGGGTATGTGCGTTCATGGTGGGGAGGGAGAAAGTGGAAAATAACCCCCCTGGGAGGGATGGTCACACTGCAACCCCTTCTCCAGGCTCCTCTCAAGATATTGGGCACATATGCATATACATATGCCCAGTGTGTGTGTGTGTGTGCGTGTGTGTGTTTGTGTTTTAGAGTTTTCTGCCATAAAGTGTACTTGCTGGAGAAAGACAGAAACAGAGACAGTGAAAGGGAAAGTGAGAAATCACTCCCCAAGTGGGGATGGCCATGCTGCAATCCCTTCTCCATTCTCCTCCCAGGATCTTGGACATGCATGCACACACACCCAGCGTTGAATTTCAAGCCACTGGGTCCAAGACTCAAACCATGGTCGGCCATGTGGGAGTCCAGAAACATAACTGCAATGCCAGCTGCTGCCCACCCCCCCAAAAAAATCAGAGAGATTTCTGCTGTAGGGCACATGCATTTGCCAGAGAGAGACAGAAAGTAAGAAACCACACCCCTAGAGGAGACGGCCATGCCACAATCGCTTCTCCTCCAGTCTCCTCTCAGAATTTTGGACATGCACACACTTGTGCCCAGAGTGAGTTTAAAGCTGTCAGGAACTTGAACTGCGGTTGACCATATGGACTATATAGAAATCCAGCAACCTAACCATTATGCCATCTGATGCAATAGTCCAAGAGTGATTTGGGGCTTCGGAAATAGCCTTTGTTGGCCAAGCACAGGGGTGTAGCAGCAGCTCAATCCTGGGAGCCCCATGGAAGACCAGGGCTTAATTTCCAGTTGACCTGTTGATGCCAGGCCTGTACGTGCACAGGCACACCTGTGGGCTGCTGGGCAAGACTGGGGGGATCGGAGAGTGAGACCCTGTTGAGGGTGCTTGTCTTTCTCGTTCATGAAAAAAATAAAAATAACCTTTGTCTTATCCTCATGAACCAAAGGACTGAAGAATTTATGAATGGAAAATCACCTTTCCTTCCCTGCAATCACCAGCATTTCTAATCTTCACTAACAGAAGTTTAGGTTCCAACCTTTCACATTGAAGACGAGGAAACTGAGGCCCAGAGAGTTCTCAAGATCTCTTCCGCTATACCTGTGCCACGGTACCACGAGCCGCTTGTGACTGTGTAAAGTTAGAAATGGTAGATACTAGAGAAAGTAAGGATAGGGATAATACAGGGGTTGGTAATAGAGAAAGCGAGGGGAACAGGGGAAGGGTTTTTAATCGAAAAAGGGAAAGCTATTTGCTAATGATAACGTATATTAATAATGTCTTTATCTTGACTGGTATGCATGGTATTCGTGCTGGAAAAAGCAATGTTGTACACTGTAAAGATAAATGTGATTAAATGTAAATTAAAAGTAAAATGTTAAAAAGAAAAGAAAGAAATATAATTCCTGGAATGTATTTACACATTTCAACTGCTTAGTAGCTGGATGTGGGGCCCCAGCTATGTTACTGGGCAGCACAGAGAACTCCCCATCTTCCCAGTGAGTTCTGCTTCACAGTGTGGTCTACAATGCCACCACCTTAGGTCTCTGAGCTCTGAATCAGTCTGCGCCTCTTCCTGATTCCCATGGCTCCGATCTTCAGTCCCTACTGACCTCTGGGTTTTCTCTGCAGTGTTGCCACATCGAGTCACCTGCAGAGTATAAAAGGATCTGGCGTTCTCACAATTTACAAAGTACCAGGAGTTTGAAGGTGCTGGCTGTCTAGTATCTGGGACTACTTGGAAATCCTAAGTGGAAACACATCCATACATGAGCTTATCGGGCATGGGTGTTAAGAGTCCAGGCCTGGGCTGCATTCTGGCCAGCTCTATCACAGCAGAAACAGGAAATGGCCTCCCCTCTCCTGGGGAAGGGGAAGGTGCTGGCAGACCAGGGCTTTGGCATCAAGAGGAGGGGAGGAGAGCCTGAATCCTGGCTTTATGACCTTGATCCATTACTTAAGCAGTTAGCTTCAGAATCTTCACATTAAGGTGGAGGCAGTGAAAGGTACCACCTTGGATTTTCAGCTGACAAAACAATCTCATGAGTACACAACCAGCATCCAATAACCCTGGATGTGGTTCCCCTTTTCCCGGATTCAGTGCTTAACTCCAGATTGGCTGACAGGAATATTGCTTAGGTCATGGTCCCCAGCACCAAAGCAGTCTCACCTCAGCAGTACTGGAAGGAAGTGCAAATCAGAGGGAAGCTTTCAGCCAATTCTCTGTGACCTCGGGCAAGATTAATAAGCCAATAAAACTGTGTTGTCCTTCCTATGAATTCCTTAGGCTTTCTCATAAGGTTTACTGCCTACTGGATGATGTATGTAGCATCTACTATTCTTCTTAAGGCTTTGAAGAATAGTTTAATAATTAGCAACTAGCCTCTTTGGATCCACACAAACTCAGGACGCTGGGGTAATTTGCTGTTTCTACAATTGTAAGGGGAAGGGTAGGAAATAAGTCATTAAGGCACAGATTACCCCATGGGTTTTACCAGGGATCTCAAGAGTGGTTATAAAATTCTCAAATCAAAACTTCATTTGAATTCACTTTAATATATATTTTTTAAGTGGCAGATGGCATTTTGAAGACAAGGAAAAAGAAAGTCACAAAGTCCGCAAACCCATTAAGGTGTCTACTCAAAAGGCTAGCAGTGACTGCATTCTTGGGGCTGCTCTCACGGTGCGTGTTTCACAGCAAAGGCAGGTTGAAGTTGTCCTTGTTTGTTTCAGAGTAAAGCATTTTTTATTTGTTTGGTCACATCTTTATCATTTAAGAAATATTAAAAATGGTATTTATTTTTATTTCAACATGTCAACTGTGCATTTCCAAAACAGCAGGCTTTTCAAAGACAGAAATCAGAACTGTAAACACAAGACACGGTATACGTTTTTGACTTGCTACAGTCATTTCACAAATCCACATACTGTACATTCATAAGTGGGGTTCAGCCTGTTACCCATTTCTTTATTTCTATTATTACACAAGCATAATAAATACATCTGATTTCAAAGGTCACTTAAAATGAGTCATGATAATTTACAGTACAGTACGTTTCAGTTCAAGTGCAAAAATAACTATTTGCTTAATTCTATTTCTTTCAGTTGTTTTATTTTTAAGCTGTGTTCGTGGTGAAGCTAGACATCCAAGTGTAGAATGTCCTCTCCCAGGTGCAGTAGCAGGCAGACCTACGCTGTCAAGGAGATGCCCTCCCTTTCCAATTGTCCTGCGTCCTCAGGGTCAGACGGTATGGTGCATTGCTCCTTCCTAACTCCGCACCTTCCTTTCCTGTCGCCTATGCTCATCCACAGCCACTGTACACAATATAACCGACCTTCATTCAGCTCAAGCAATGTTCCCTTAGCACAGCCCTCCCCCATTAACCTCCGCTTTCATCTTGAGCAGCAAGTTAGGCGTGATTCATCCAGCCACTGTTCCCACCGCAGTTGTGATATTTACAGCTGCATACCATATCTGAACCGCCCAGCGTCTGACAGTGTCTCCATGGGAAAGAATATACTGAGATCTGTTTGTTTAGTGGTTGGAAAGTATAGTTAGTTCTTATTCCCATCCTTCTCACTCCTGGTTTCTTATTTACCATCTTTTCCCCTCACCAAAAACAAAACAAAACTGAGCCATTATACAATTTTAAAAAACTGTATCCCTCCCCCAGGCACTTATAAATCATATACTGTTATTCGGAAGTAGTACTGCTTAGTTAAAGGAACCCTTAGGAATTCAGTGATTCTTGTCTTGTTGCGTTTTATTCCATCAGCTCGTTAGAGCCCAAATCACTAAAAAATTGTACATAGTGATAGAGGCTATTACAGTATCAATATATTTAGTAAACCCTTGTCTATCAAGCCACAGGATACTGAATTGGTTGTTTATTTAAAATATTCCCTCATTTTTGGTCATTCTTAAAGCCCATTTAAAACAAAAGGCATTTTAAAGCTCAGCTTAGTTTGCAGGAGTTAATAACAGCTGTTGCTGCTCAAAGAATTGACTATTTTCATCATTTATCATACACATATAAAAATATATTTGCTAGAGATATCTAAAGTTTCTCATGAAACTTTTTTTTTAAACAGAAGCCTGTGTACTGATTTTTATCTGATTACTTTTTAAATGGATCTTGTGATTTTTAAAATGGTTCTCTCCGTGAGAAACAAAATGATATACTGTTTCTTCCCAGTTTGCATTAAGAACCAAATCCTAAGACTAAATCATCAGAAGAGGGAAATGATTCCACCATTCACCTTGACACACTTTGATCCCCTCCGCTTAGCCTACCTGCTGGTTTCAACTGGTACTGCACTGGCAGAGAAAGCCTGTCATCCTTAACCTAACCAACCAAAGAACTGAGAGTCCTCACTGAACTCCATTCCCTTCTGGCATTCCAGTGAGACGATGGGCGTTTACCTTTTCCTGCCAACATGTACTGTAGTTCCTGTGTGCGTGTGTATTTCCATGTTAATGAGTTGAGACACTTGGTAGCATGTGTGGTGCTGTGCTCCTCCAGGGAAAGCGTGTCCTGGGTTGGGGGCCTCACCCTCCTATGTCCTGGTGGAGGAGTCCAATTCCATGCAGGGTGGGAGATGTGCTGGACACACTCAGTGTCCTCCCGGGCCAGGCTGAGCCTGCTGGTCCTCACCCTCCTCCACGTGCAGATCCACACTGGGGTGAGTGGGGCTGGTCTGAGATGCTGCTGCGTCAGGGGATGGCTGGTTTCTAGATGGGTCAGAGTGAGTCTCACAAGGGACAGGATGGGCTCCACCAGTTGGAGCATTTTCTCGATTCTCATTGGTCTCCTGGGAGGAAAAAAATAGAAGATGCCCCATGGTCAGTGAAAGCAAATAAATCTCGCGTTCTGTACATTCTTTCAAGTAAGAGATAGGAAACATGGAGAGGTCATTCTGAAGTGCCATTTCAGGGACCATGTAATAGAGGAATAAGGATAGAATATCTTACCTTTCATCTCTTTTCCTAGGTGCAACTGCCAGAGCCGCATGAAAAACACAAATACCATAAGCAGACATCTTACGGATAAAGGAACATTACTACCAACATGCCTGTGACTGCTAGGCAAACCATTTCCACCAGCAGATACTCACTGAGCACCCCCAGCCACATGACAGGTCACTAGGAATAATTGAAATTCAGGTCACTTGCTAAGACCACAGAATTCAAGAGCCAGAGCAAAAAAATCCTCTGTATACTCTCCCTACTGGATCTAATGGTGAGTAAAGAAGAGATTCTCAGCCTTGCAGACAGAGTTGGGAAGAGAATGTCCTATAAATAAGAGTCCTAATGTATATTTGGGGTTTTTGAAAGGCCCATTCAAAGTTAAAAAAAAAAAGGGGGGGCAGAAAATCCACATACAAAGGAGATGGAAAGTAGCGCTTAGGTAACCAATAGCAGTAACTGTGAATATATACACTCACTCCAGCACCTCACATAAAGTCATTTTTTAAAATGCCATAGAGGTGGAGGGTGGGACATGGGAGAGGGTGAGGTGAAGGGAATCAAGGGGAAAAAGAAAGAAGCAAATATTTAAGGCACACAAAAATGGAAAATTATCTATTGATGATAACGTGTATGGTAATATCTTTGACTGAATCAATATACAGAGTATTCATGCTGGGAAAATTCATTTGTATGTTGCAATGATACACAGTGATGGGATGTAAAAATAATTAATTAGTTAAAATGTTATAGTAGTTGTACAAGTCAGGAAACATGTATTTTTAATTAATTTTCTGCTGAATTAGTTCTTATCACTTCCAATAACTGAGCACTAGCCCTCCAAAAAAGTTTCATTTCTGTGATTTTAGAAATCTAAAATGTTATTTTAAAACATTTTAAAAAAATTTAGTAAACCCTTGTTTGAAAAATTAATATAACAACTTTTAATATAACAACTTTTGATATAAGAATAATTACACCATGCCTGCCAGTTTTTATTCCTCTTATACCAGACGACATTCTACTTAAGCCGAGCAGGCTCCTATGAAAATGAGCATGAGTATGCAAGGTCATGAAAACACTGCTATTCAGAAGCAGATCTCATCCCTTCTCCTTCTTTACTTCCCTGCTTTAAGGTTTTAAGATTCTCTATAGGTAGCACAGTGGTTACAGCATGGCCAACCACAGTTCAAATCCTAGACGTGGTGGCCTGAAAATCATGCCAGGTGCATATGAATATATGCCCAAAATCCCAGGAGGAGAATGGAGGAAAAGAGCTGGCTGCATACCTAAATACCAAAAAAAAAAAAAAAAAAAAAAACCAGAATAAAATAAATCCTCTATATACTCTTCCCACTGTGATATAGACCTCTTGACTGAGCAGAGGATTCATGGGAGTTTACTAAGCAAATAAATAAGATTATGCATGGATGGGCATATATGTGATTATCATGAAGAACCAGATTTGGTTAAAATTGCAAAAAAATGTTATATTAGTTTACAAAGTAAAGATAAATTTAATTAATGTAGTTCAACACACTTTCTAAGAAAGTATATCACCCAAATGACCTTTATTTGGTTCTTTCCCCTTCATTTTCTGTTTCGTTTTTTCCTTACATGTCCTCTGAAGCCTCTCTACAACATAGAGCTGGTACGACTTACCAAGTATAAGGCAAGTGTTTATTATTTTGGTCAAACTGTTCATAGGAGTCACACTCATTTTCCAAAGTCAAAATACAGTTTTAACTACATAATTACCCACAATTTTATCAACATAATCTGACTTTACTCAAGAAAGAACACTCCTTGAGGGGCAAGAAAAATCACATTTTAAAACTGATTTTTCAAGTGAGGCCACCTGTAAAATCATGCTTCCACTGAGTCAGGTATCTGTCAGACCCATACAGTAGCTCAAGTTATTAAGTAAGTAAACAAATCACTTATTATAGTCCTATTCTATGTAATACCCTTACTAAAATTCTGGATTTACAGGGATGAATAAATATGGTCCCGAAGGGGAGAATCATATATTCTCACTGCAACTGGTAATTGCCAATCCTGAAATGTTATCTACAAGATTAGAATGAATTTAATTTCTTTCCAGGGGATCATTTCTATGAAGTCTTCCTAACTCGATAAGGCAGAACTTTCCCTCTGTGGGACCTTGTGTACACCTCTACAATGCACTTATCACAGAGCACTGAAATTATGTGTTTGCATGTCTATTTCCCCCATGGGATTTTCAATGAATCTGTTGAACTAAAAGTGAATCATTAAAACAACTGAATCCACTTGGCCTATCTACGGTGGCCGGTAATACTGCCTGACCCCGCAGGGGAACTTTACCTGTAATGGCTGGATCTCAGAAGCACGGTTCTCTCTTGCTAGTTGCATCATCTCTTTAATTTGGTAGAGTGCGTAGACAAAGGTCACCCACGGAGAAGAGCTGACCCCCCAGGCCGGTTTGTTCACGTCTTCCTGTTCTTCCTGGTGCTTGGTTTTCTTGGGAGGAAGTTTGGGCTCAACACGTGGCATGGCGTCTTCTGTCTGCTGCTGTACCAGGTCTATGGTTGCTATGGGAACGGGACTGGAGGGAACAGGAATCCTTTCTGCTAACATTGTCTTGTCTGGAGAGAAAATCATGTTTCAATCATTTTTCAGCGTTTTCTACATATTTAAACAAAGGTTAAAGAAATCAAACCAACAATCTCAAGCCCATTCCAGTGTGCTTGGCAACATTAATAAGTTGCCATTTACCAAGGGCCTCTTCCCTCCATGCAAGTACTGAGTAAATGAACATGATGTTTATCTTTTCAGAGTCTCCTTATAGGACTTAACAGATATCACCTTATACTGACTTAATAAATCTGTTTTTCATTTGGCTTAGATCTAACATTAGTGGGACACAGGTTATAGCGAATATTGCCTTGGGCCATTTACAGGATTTCAATTTTATAGATAAACATCACAACAGGAAAAGGCACAAGATAGCTGCTTTTTATTGGCCTCTTACAGAGACAAGGACCAGACTGTACTCACTGAGACATACTCAGTTAGGAATACAAAAGAACAGAAGTAAGAAAAACCAGTAATGGCCTGTCTTTCTGAGGAACTCTCTGCGATTAAAGTCAGTTTCTGGGGTTTCTGGAACAAGCTAGTTTTTCTCTTAACTGAAGCACTCCAGGTACTTGAGCTCAGTGCTCTTTCAAGGGACAGGACATTCAAAGAAGAGCTCTGTACTGAGAACAAAGGGCTGAGCGAGAACATTTTCATTTTACTGCTTGGCCTGGTGTATGACAAGCTTGAGTTCATTTGTTCTCATCAACATATCATATTTGATATAACCTCCTTTTGTTTAACAATTTTAATAAAGGCCATGCCTGATTCAGGGAAAACTTCAAATTTCAGTTTTAGATTTTTTTTTTCAAATGGAGTTAACGTCCTAGAAAGAAATTAATACCATTTCTAGTGCTAATAGTAAAGTTACTCTATAACTATAGACTTAAATTTGGAATCTTTTTACAACACCAGAAACATTTAAAAACAATGCATCCCCAGAACTTTGTACCATGAAACAAAACAAAAACAAGAAAACCCCAAGCAACTTAAAATAAGTAATAATTTCTTCAGCACAGCAGGTGGCGTCTAACAATGGTACACAAGGGTTTACTAACAGACCACTGAAAAAATCCTGCTAAGGCCTGCTGCACGCTCTGTTAGCACTTTGGGCTTTTGAAGGCATATGTAGAATACTCCATGGCTTGAACATTAGAACCCTCAAGAATGAGAATGTTGGGACCAGTAGGTGGCATGGGAGTTGGGGCGCTAGACTCCCACATGCCCAGCCATGGTTCAAGTCCTGGCTACTTGCTTTCTCACTTTCCCTCTCTCTGTGGAGCATGCATATCCTATTGCAAATTAAAAAGCGATTAACAATAATAATAAGTAATTCTTTAAAAAGAGAAAAAAAAGAACAGGAATGTTTACCTTCTTCCTCATCTGGCACTGCCAGCCACTGGATCAGGGCAAAGAGCAGGAGGATCACCAGGCAAGCCATGCCGATTCCTCGGAAGGTTGCAGCAGCCCCTGTGAGAACAAACAGAGCACTCTCTGCAGAGTAATTCCAGGAAACATAGGGAGCCCTTGCCCAAACTGCCAAAGTTCTACAGTGCAGGGCAAAGGGAGCACAGCTTGGGATGAGCCTGAGAAAAAGTCCTGGCTACTTGCTTTCTCACTTTCCCTCTCTCTGTGGAGCATGCATATCCTATTGCAAATTAAAAAGCGATTAACAATAATAATAAGTAATTCTTTAAAAAGAGAAAAAAAAGAACAGGAATGTTTACCTTCTTCCTCATCTGGCACTGCCAGCCACTGGATCAGGGCAAAGAGCAGGAGGATCACCAGGCAAGCCATGCCGATTCCTCGGAAGGTTGCAGCAGCCCCTGTGAGAACAAACAGAGCACTCTCTGCAGAGTAATTCCAGGAAACATAGGGAGCCCTTGCCCAAACTGCCAAAGTTCTACAGTGCAGGGCAAAGGGAGCACAGCTTGGGATGAGCCTGAGAAAACTCTATATGATGAGAAAACACAGGGCTGGGTAGGTGTCAGGAGATCTGGGTGCTGGTACGGGATCTATCGCTGATCAACTATAAAGGTGCATTTATAAAGGACGGTCTCTGAGTGCCTTTCACATCGACCTATAAAATTCACCGGTGCTCTCCTCTTCATAAAGACCTTTGCCAACTATCAACAAACAGCACTATTCATCTATTTTTAGAACAGCACAGCTCAAATAATGCTATAAATTCCTATACTCCTGGGCCTACCTTGCATAGATGACTGAGCAGATTATTCTACAGCAGAATAATCTCATTCCTACCCCAGCTCTTATATTTCCAATAAGGGAGATCTGACAAGGCAGACAGACTGCATTATCCTAGGTTCAGTGGCATTTCCAAAGCCTGCGTATGTGAAGTGAGATTTTTCTGGTTCAAAGTTCCCTGATGGAATAACAGGGATGAATTTTCTTTCCTTTAGCATTACTATCAGCTGATGTGGCGTACCTTACTTCAAACCAAAAGCATGCATGCTTATTCACGACTTTGGCTCCTTTGAGGAATCTGTGTAGCTTCTTGTTAAGCTGTGCCTCTGCAGGCTGGCCCAATTATCTTAACCTAAGCACACTGCTTTACGATTATGACTACCATGAATCTAGAAAGAGGATCTAAATACTGTAGTTTAGCTTCTGGCAATCCTCAGTAATAATCTGAGTGTCTATGGAGGTATTGATGGGAAAAAAATCATGTTTTCATCGAATAAAAAAAGGAAAAAGCCATTCTTACCAAAATAATTGACTAACACGCCTCCGATCATGGCACCGCAGCCTCTTCCCAAACCCAAGTGGAGGCCCTGCAGGATGCCCTGTGCAGATGTCCTCAGCTCCGGGGGCACGGCTGCACTCAGGTAAGAGATGCAGGCTGCCCAGATGGCTGCATGTGTCACTCCTGGGGAAGAAGAGCAGGAGTACTTGGTTATCCTGTCAGCCCACCTCAGGCTACTCTTCTTTGAAATGGGAATTCTTTCTCACTCTCTCTTCTTTTTATTTATTTATTTTTAAAGACATGGTCTCCTTATATTGTCATCCTTCTGCCTCTGTCTCCCAAGGGGCTGAGTCTAAAGGTATATTAACCACCATACATGACTTTTTAAGGTAGGCTGGGAATCGAACCCAGGCCTCCCATGAGGCTTCAGCTTGCCAAGCAGCATCAGTGTGCTACTCTAGCTGTGAAATGTTATTATTTAACTACCTATCTATAAGTGCGGGCACACACACACACACACGTGTGTGTGCTATCAAATACACATAATATAAAATTTACCATTTTAGCCATTTTTTATGCATATAATTCAGTGGCATTAGGTACACTCATGATGATGTGCAACTTTCACTCTCATCCATCACCAGGAACTTTTTCATCCCACACAATCACTCTGCACCCATTAAACAATAACTCTCATTCACCCCAGCCCAGCCCCTGGCAACCAGCATTCTACTTTGTTTAGGCATTGGGCTACTCTGGGCACCTCCTATGTGTGCATCATAGAGTATTCGTCCTTTTGTGTCTGGCTTATTTGACTTAGCATAATATCCTTGAGGTTCATTCATGTTATAGCATGTGTCAGAATTTCATTCTCTTTTAAGGATAACCGACATGCATTGTTATATAGAGTTATTTCAAAAAGTTCATGCCAAACGGAATAAAAGTATAAGTTAATTTTGGTTAAAAAATGTTTTGAAATTGAGACACAGTTTTCTTATGTGTATTTTCCATGAACTTTTGGAAGACCCCTTGCCTATGCCGTATTTTGTTCATTCATTCATCTGTAATGGACATTTTCCCACCTTTCAGCTACTATGAATGAGGCTGCTATAAACACTGGTATGCAAATATCTGAACCCCTGATTTCAATTCTGTGGGGTATATATTGTACCTAAAGTGGGACTGCTGGTTCATAGAGTCACTGTTTAATACTCTGAAGAAGCACCTGCTTTTCACATTCCTATCAGGAACACACAAAGGATCCCATTTTTCTACATCCTTCCAGAACCTGTTATTTTCTAGGTTGTTTTTTTTTTTAATAATACTGATTCTAATGATTGTGAAGTAATATTTTACATTCTTGATTTGCATTTTTCTAGTATCTAATGATGCTGAGCATCTATTAAGCATTTAATATCATCTCTATATCTTTTTGGAGAATTTTTTTTGAAAGAAATAGATAAAATTTATTATTTTTTAAAATTTGCCAGAGGACATGTATGAACGGTCACGCCACAATCCCTCTTCCCCATTTCCCCTCCTTTCAAGATGTACACATGTCAGTCTGTTTCTCAATCTGCCACATCTGGAACTTGAACCATGCCGTGGCCATGTGAGATCCAGCCAACTTAACCACTATGCCACCAGCTGGCCTGAAGTATGTTTATTCAAGTCCTTTTTCCATTTTTGAGCTGGGTTGAGTTTTTGTTGTTGAGTTAAAAGAATTCTTTATATATTCTGGGCATTAATTCTTTATTGGGTACCTACTTTGACACTAGGTTATTTGCATTTCTTTCCTTTTTAATTAGCATCATGGTTGACATTTCTGCAGATACAGCATTTTACATACCTTAGATTGGCTATAATTTGTTTTTGGAGGAGTTTTTGCTATAGGGCATGTACGTTCACCAGAGAGACAGAGACAGAGAAATAGAAAGCGAGAAATCACCCCCCAAGGGGGATGGCCAGACCACAATCTCTTCTCCTCCATTTTCCTCTCGGGATCTTGGGCATGCACACACACGTGCCCAGCATGAGTTTAAGCCACTGGGTCCAGGACTCGAACCGTGGTCGACTACCTGGGAGTCCAGAGACTTAGCCATTATGCCAACTGCTGGTCCCGGATTGACTATAATTTTATAAGCAGAGTTAATGATTCAAAGGATAAAGCAATTTTTTTATGATTTTAAATATACAGTTCCAATTGTTTTCCAAAAGAGTGTAAATTAGGCAATTTATAATACATCATTTCCATTTTTATAAGTTTCCCCATTTGCTGGAGGAAGAGAAGATGGAGATCATAGGTGAAAACTTGGTCATTATTTTAATATACAGCAACTATGCATTGTCTAAATTTAAACCTTCATTAATGGACTGCTTTGAATATAATAAAAATACATTATCACAATAGATTTTATAGTTAGAAGGGATTAAGAAATCATTGAGTTCCATGCTGATAAAGTCATGGGTTCTCTCCTTGACAGACACTCTCATTTTGAGACGATTCATCGGAAAGTCTTAACTTGTGTTTTAGAAAATTAAACTGAAAAATCTTTTTCTTTTCTTTTCAGTTTCTTTGCTACAGAGTGCATATACCACTAGACAGAGAGGGAGAGAGGGAAAGTGAGAAGTCACACACACACACACACACACACACACACCGGGGACTCCGCCTTGCTGTAATCCTTTCTCCTCCATTCTCCTCCTGGGAATTTGGGCACATACACATAAGGCCCACCTAGTGCAGGACTTGAACTATGCATTCAGCCACATGGATCCAGCTACCTTAAACACCACGCCACCAGCTGTCCCAAGCTCAATGTTCTTCTAAGGTTTGTTCTGATATTAATTTGCTTCCAACTAGAATGGAGTAACAGGAACTAGATTTACCCTTCTTCCTGAAATAACTGAAAAACTGGACAAATTACATGAAACAACAGCTACCAAGACACTGGACATGAGCAACAAAGACAGTGATCTCTGCAGAATGGGAAACAAACAAAGAGCCCCAGTTCACTGTCTGGTAAGTTTGAAAGCTGCAGGGCATCAAGGAGAACCACTGAGTGGAAGACTAACCTATTCCACTAGAGAGACCAAGGTGGCTAGATTCTAGGGCGGAATACTAGAGAAGAGCTAGCTGCTTTTTCAGATAGAAGACTCCAGGGATGTACAGAGTTCCTTTAAAGTGTTCAGCAGAGTAGTGATCAGTAAAATCATGTGAAGAAACTATCCAAAGCCAGAGACAGCACCACCCCAAAGCAGAGAACAATACTCAGAATCCATAAAAGCTGGAAATAGTTCCTGTTCTTACAGCCAAACTGTAAAACATATGATTCCTAGGACTGGTAAGAGTACTTGGAAGGGTCTTACGTTATGAAATACAGTTGACCCTTGAATAACACAGGAGTTAAACATGCTGACTACTGCACAGCTGAAAACCCCCATGCAATTTTTGACTCTTCCTCTAAAACCTTACTAATAGCCTATTGTTGACCTTCCCAATAATGTAGTTGATTAACACATATTTTGTATGTGTATTATTTACTGTATTTCTACAATAAGGAAAGCTAGAAATAAGAAAATGTTATGAAGAAAATCATAATAGAAAATAATTTACTATATTATACTGTATTTTCCAATATATTTATTGAAAAATATCTCCACATAAGTGGACCTGGGTAGTTCAAACCCATATTGTTAAGGGTTGGCTGTAATTAGCTTTAAACACTGCTGGTCTCACTTACGTAACCTTTTTCTTTTTTTTTTCTGGTATCTGAAGTATATTTTTAGTCAAATATTTATACTTATGAATTTAGAAATATCAGATTGATGTATACTCTACTGAGTTTATCACTGCGTATTAGAGTTCCAGATACATTTTTTTTGCCATCTTGCACTTTCCAAAATTTTCACAAAGGTCTTATGTGCTTTTTAATTTTATTTGTACTGGTCATTTCTGGTTTATATATAATCGTCATACCTCGTTGTGAGGTGTGATATGGTTCTTCAAAGCATTAATACAATGTTAAATAATCAAATCCTGGATACAGACGTATTCATGTCCTTTGATGTTAAACATTACACTGTGTTGTGCACATTCAGTTATAGTTACACTAATTTTTTTGGAAGTTATAGTAAATTGTCAACATTTTCCATCTACTGTGGTACACCATTCCATAACCTATTCCACTTGTTTATACACATTCCTGTGTCTGTTAATCATTTTCTCCCAAACACCCTCCCTCCCCCCGTGCAGCTGCTGGCATCTACCATCTACCAGCACTCCTATGCCACTGGGTGTGGACATCTGGAGTATGTTAAGTGGAGGCATACAGAATCCGTCTTTCATACCCTGGCTTCTTTTTCTTAGCATTAAATCTTTTAGGTTTGTTCACTTTGTGTCAAATGACAAGGTATCATTGTTCTTTATGACTGTGTAGTATTCACTTAAGTAATATTAAAAGGAAGACCCAAAGGATCACACAGGTTCCAGGGAACTTTGTGTGTGAACAAAGCTCAAGAATATATACATGAATAGGGGAACCAGTAGTTAGCGTAATGGCTATGTCGCTGGACTCCCATGTAGTCGACCGCGGTTCGCGTCCCGGACCCGGTGGCTTAAAATTCATGCCGGGTGCGTGTGCGTGCGTGCCCAAGATCCCGGGAGGAGAATGGAGGAGAAGGGATTGCGGCGTGACCATCCCCCCTGGGAGGTGATTTCTCGCTTTCTGTCTCTATGTCTCCCTCTGTCTGTCTGGCGAGCGTACGCGCCCTATAGTGAAAAAAAAAAAAAAAAACATCTCAAAAAAGAAAGAAAGAAAAAAAAAAAGAATATATACATGAATACAAAAACACCCAGTATCCAAAAGGGTAATAAAATTCACAATGTTTGTCATACCATCAAAAATTATCAGGGATGACTTTAAGTATATCAAATCATACTATTTTTACTCAGTGAATTAGATTATATGCTTTATAGTTTACTGAGAAACAACAAAATAATTTTCTTAGGCCTTATATATATTTCAGTAATTTCAACTAGTTTTTTTATTTATTTATTTATTTTTTTTTAGAGAGAGATTTTTGGTATAAGATGCATGCACTCACTGGAGATACAGAGAGAGAGAAAGTAAGAAATCACACACCAGGGGGGATAGCCATGCCACAATCCCTTCTCTTCCATT